TATATATCTATATATCTATATATATATATATATGCTGATACATATTATTCTGTACATACATAACAGCATATATGAGTCACTCAACAGCTGTTGCGTTACAATGCATATCGAGAAACCATTTCTAGAAACCATTTAAAATGTTCTAAACATTTCCCTATAGCTAGGGTGTATAAACTCGAGGGAAAATTAATCAGAAGTGCGTTTTATTCTCCCATGTCGCATTGTACAGAAGTTCTCTTCGTGTATTCAGTTTTCCGTTCACTTATACTCTCGTCATGTTTGACTTTGGATGACTTCGTTGTCTCTTTAGCAAAGTTTTCTGGAAGGGATTGTTCGTCAGTATTACATGTATTGCTGTTCTTCTTCTTGGCAAGGATTTTGATCTGCGTTGAAGAAAAAATAGTTTAAAGACAACAAATATGAGTATATCCACATACTTAAATACGCAGGTATACTTGACAGGGTGTGTCAATCGTATTTGAACCACGAGTTGTATTTTGCAGGAAACTGGGCATATATCCGACCTAACCCATTAAAACATCAAGGCGTATTACCGAGGGTTTGGCAATATTTGTACAAAGATTACCTTAAAGATATGTGTCCCAGATAGCCCTGCATAAATACCATCGAATATGCTCATGTTCTTTTAGTTGAAACCATACTGATTAGAACTATGCTGTAGAACGGTGATAGAACTTCCCAATTGTGATCTATGCACGTCAGCATATGTATACCGAAATTACCTTATAATTTATATACATGTTATCCTCACATGATGTTGAAAGGCGTGTATGCAGGTCAATAAATCAGCACGGCACACTATCGTGCGTAGCCAAGCTATAAAACAAGATTTTTTTCATGAATAGCGTCCACGCTGCCCTTGAACATATAGTTGAATAACACTCCACATTCGTGGGTGGAGGAACAGAGCATCGCGACTGCACCAAATTTACCACCACACACGTATAATTGTGCTTTAAAATTCGGATTTACACTCGGTTATCCAACGGATTGAGTAATGGCATATACTTACGGCTGTACCTCTGCAAATTAACCTCACCCACCTGTCTCTCGATATAAGTCATGTGCCTGTGTATATCCCATATATCTGCCTCTGGTATCAACTGGGTATTCGTTTTATCGAGTAGCAGCATGTTGAGCCGACCTACTTCATCGGTCAGTCTCGCTAACTCATTCTTGAGCGTACTTTCGGACAGTTCCTTATAATCGTTGCTATTAAAGCGGCGTCCACACAGATTGTCCGAATTCACTTCTCTCGGTGCTCTGATAGGTATGAAACTGTACCATGAGTTATACATATTCAGGGTGTGATATAGCCTTGTTCTACTTGACCTGGCTAGCTAATTCTATAGTGAACTCACTAACAAAAATTCTTTGTTCTATTTCTCGGTGCTCTGGATGCAGGTATATACATATATA